AAAAAAAAAAAGAAAATGGGATCTAGTAATGTGTTGATGGGAATTGTTAAATTCACGCTGCTCGTGTTGCTCTTGTGGTTTTTCTTCGCCACAGTGCGTTTCACTTGCTGCGGGGCATTTCTCGCCGCCAGTCCAGACGTGCCGGGCACTATTCCATTCTCTGATGCCTACTGGAGTCAGGTACGGGAATGTCTGAGTCGATACTAACAAAGAGAGAGAGAGAGAGAAAGAGAGAGAATAACTTTTTTTTTTTATTGTGAAGGATGTGCAGTTTGGTTTGTTGTGTTTGTGTTGACTTAGTTGGTTGGTTGTTGTTGTTGTTGTTGCTCGTTCATACCTTTCTGTTTTTTTTTTTTTTTGTTTTTTGTTTTTTGTGTGTGAATTTACTCTATTGGGATGTGAAGGTGTGAGGAGTGGAAGAGGGAAGAGGGAAAACAAACAAGGCTTGTGTGTAGTCCTTTGTTTATGCTTTCCACCTTATTTTATTATTTATATATATATGTTGTTTATTTTATTTATTTTTTTTTTATGTTTATATATTTATTTAGTTTTAAATATGTACAATGTTTGAGATGAGAGGTAAATACTCTATTTGTTGCTCTTCTTCTTTTGTCTTTTTTTTTTTTTTACTTTGAACCCTGTTGATTACATGTGTATTGATTGAAATAATAATAATAATAATAATAATAAATTAGAGTCATTATTGCTTATTTATTCTCCTGTTTTTCTTCTTCTTCTTCTGCAGAAAGAAGGAAGACGGCGAAGATAACAGAGTGATTGCCACGCATACAAGCAATACCGTTTGCTTTAAACGGAGTGCCCCACTAATCCTACCCATATCTATATATATATATATATAGAGAGAGAGAGAGAGAGGATAGAGAGAAGAAAATAAATTAAAAAAAATAAAAAAGAGATAAATTCAAAGTGACTTGTAAACATGTCTCGAGTTCGTATTCTCCATCTTCCTCGTGATTGCACGGAGGAACAACTGCGGCGTCATATTTTATCTTCTCTTCCTCCATCCGCTCCTCACATTGAAATAACGGATTGTATGATTAAACGATCAGATCTCACACGTGGTGGAAAGGGTGTGATTCGTATGGCTTTCATGGGATTTCGCAATGCCGCGAGTGGACATTTTGTGGTGCGGCACTTCAACGGCACGTACTTTGGAAGTGCGAAACTTCGCGTGGAGGTCGCAAAGGGCCTCGGTGAAGTTGGCATCACAACAAATATGAAAAAGAAAATGGAGGCATCTCAACAACAACAACAACAACAACCGTCCAAGATTGGAGGAGGAGGAAAGGGAGGAGATCTTGTTAATAATAATAATAATAATAATAATAATAATAATAATAATAGTGCTGGTGCTGGGGTAAAGCGTAGTCGAGAAGCCACGCAGGATGGGAAAAGTGAAGATGAAGAAAAAGATGAACAATCACGCCGTAGGAAAGAACGTTTAGATGAATTCATCACCGAACGTACAAAGGCAACATCTGGACCAACGTGGGCCTCTGAGGTGTTATTGCCGGAATCTACAAATGTGAATGTAGATCCAAATACAGATGAAATGTTGGGAACTCACCTTTCATTACAAGAAAGAGAAAAAGAAAGAGAAGAAGAAGAAGAAGATCCAGAAGAAGCTGAAAGACGGGCATTAGAACGACAACAGGCATTAGGGGAAGTAAGTGATATGGACTTTTTAGCCTCATTGGCAAATAAAAAAGATAACACTAGTCAACCTATGAAAGATACAGAGGATAAAGAAGTTGAAGATACTGAAAAAGAAAAAGAAGAAGAGGGACAAGAAGAACAACAACAATGTACACTGACATCGTCTACAGTGGTAGATGAACAAGAGGCCATTGTATACGAAAGTCGTCGAGTGCGAATAGGTAATATTCCCTTTATCGCTACTGAAGATGATGTGAAACAGTTTGCCTCTTCACTAGTTGGTCCTGTGGAGTCTGTACACATTCCACTCACACGTGATACCCGCCAAAGTAAAGGAGCCGCATTTGTGAAATTTACTCGAGTAGAAGACGCACTGCGGGCATTAACCATGTGTCGTGGAGCTGTCTTTATGGGCCGCCTATTGCGTGTAAGTGCGGCGGAAGATGATCCATATACAAAGAAATTAGAAGAAGGAGGAGGTGGTGGTGGGATGGGATTAGCCGGCAGCAGTGAGTTTAAACGACAGAAGGAACAACAACAACGACAGAATGAGAATGGAGGTGCCATGGCGTGGAGCTCTACTTATATGAGTAGTCATGCCGCTGTGGAGACTGTGGCCAAACGGCTTGGCGTTACCGCAGGAAGTGTTGTTTCTGTAGAAGCACGTGGGGCTGCTGTGCGTGCTGCCATTGCGGAAGCCTATTTAACGACAGAGATACAGCAAGTATTAGGCGATGAGGGTATTGACTTTGGTTTACTGGAGAGTGCTCAGCAGAATTTGTTAAAGGCACGTAGTAACACTACTATTCTTGTAAAGAATATTCCAGCCGCAACAACAGGAGATGATGCGGCAGAGTTAACAAAAATGTTTCTTCGTTATGGTTCTTTAGAAACCACCGCATTTCCCTCTGCTGGTACTTTTGCATTATTTCGATATGTTCATCAACAGGATGCTCGTGTGGCTTTTCAACGACTTTCATATAAATTGTTTAAGAATTCCCCACTCTTTTTAGAGTGGGCACCTATTGGGGCTATTACAGATGATACTGATAGCAATGATGAAGATAATGATAAAAATAATAATGATAATAATAATAATAATGACGCGGATGGGGATCTACCTAGTGGAAAGGCTGCCTTTGCTCCAGTCTTAACGCTATTCATCACAAATATTCCCTTCACTTCTAAAGAAGATGAATTCTATACTTTTATGTTGGATGTCTGTCCGCGACTCGCAAAGGCACCTGAAAAGCACGTGGAGCGACTGGCCTTTGAGCAAGATAAAGGACGTGCGTTTCTCACATTGCGTGATGAAAGTACATTTACATATGTACTTCAAAGACTTAACGGGAAAAGCTTTGCTGGACGAACTCTCGCATGTGTGGCGAGTAAACATACAGCCGCCGCCCTCGCAGCGAAAACATCATCTGTACCTTCATTATCCGGTACTAGAGCTAATATTAATAATATTAATAATAATAATACTGCAGGTGATGAGGATGAAGATGATGTAACGAAGTTAGCGGCTGTTATTGCCCGCAGAGGAACAACAACAACAGGAACATCATCTTCACATGGAAATCATGTACCCCCTGGTTGTGATCCACTCAAGTTGGTGGTAAAGAATGTGCCCTTTGAGGCTACAGAGCGGGATATACGAGATCTCTTCTCCGCATTCAGTGAGATTCGTAGTGTACGTCTACCGCGTAAGAGTCATCAATTCACAACCCATCGTGAGAATAATCACCGTGGTTTTGCGTTTGTGGAGTTTCTCTCTGAGGAAGAGGCGAAGCGGGCGATGGAAACACTTAAGGCCACACATTTGTATGGTAGACATTTGGTACTGCAATACGCAAAGCTGGATGACCGGTAAGAAGATATCAAGATATATGTGCGTATGTGTGTGTGTGTTTACATTTGGAATTAAGGTGAACGAGTGCACACTCTTCTTTTATTATTATTATTATTATTATTATTATTATTATTATTATTATTATTATTATTATTGTTTTTTTTTTTTCTTTGTGTCATGCCTCTTATACCCTTTTCTTTTCCCACTGTGCCGGTTAAAGATACGATTAAAGCGCAAGTGGGTAGTAAAGGTATGAAGTTGGTATATTTATACAAATCGCAATAATAATAATAATAATAATAATAAAAGAAAAAGAAAAAAAATTAATAATAACGATGAAACAAATAAATAAACAAGAAGAGGGATTTGCTCCTATGGAAAGAAACCTATTACAGGACACTAATGTTATTTTTCTTATTCTTCTTGTTATTATATCTTTATTCTGTTTCTTTTTTATTCTTTTTCGTTATTTCTTATATGCTCTTTTTTTTTTTTTTTTTGATTCATCTGAGTAAAAAAGAGAAACTCACCTGAAACATAAAAGAGACATTTTTTTTTTTAAGTAGAAATAGAGGGACTAATAATCCCACAATACAAAAGAGTCGAATAAGAAAAAAAAAAAAAAAACAGAAAAGCATTACACAGCGAGAACGGGAAGGAATTTAAAAAAAAAAAAGAAAAAGAAAAAAAAGACGATTTTATTAGTAAAGAAAAAGAAGAAAAGAGAAGAAAAAAAGGGAAAGGAAATGAACAATAACACAGTGGCTCTCTCCGTTGTGGAGGATCTTATTCACTGGCCCCTTCCCCCTGCAGATCCCACAGAATCCCCAGCCAGCGGGAGTACAAGTACAACGAACCCCACCGCAAACCCCAACAATGTGAATATAGTCTCCTTCGATGCCTTACTCTCTGCAGGCGCCTCAGAGGAATTAGATGAGGAACCACGCGAACGACAACAATTACGATATGAAGCCGTTAGACGTTTACCGGCGTTAGTGCGGGCAATGGGATCTCAATGGGCAAAGATGGAAGTCATTCCATATATGCTGCGATGTATGGAAGAGGAAGATGCGGAATTGAGTTTTGCGACTGGTATGGCTTTGATGGATCTCGCAACCGGACCTGTGGTGAGTTCATCCCAACTGCATTCCTCGCCAACACCTGCGGCGTGTGAAATGCGTACAGAGAGACTTTTTCTTGATATTACACGTCCACTCTCATTACCGAATCTTCTTCCTGTATTAGTACGAATGAGTGCCTCTGCAGATGCGGGTGTACGGCTTTTTCTTGTGGAAGTTGTTATTCCAACACTTTTCTTTGGGGTATCATTGGAACGAACAGTGGATTTACGTGATTGGGAATCTAAATATCTCAAACTGCGATCACATGATAGAGATGAAAATGAAACAGGTGAAGAATCAAAGATAACATTTGATGTGAATAATCCTACTGGTATTCATACTTCTGCAGGTATTAGCAGTCATGGTAGAAGTTCAACATTTGAGAATCGGCGACCACTCACAAGTAGTAGTAGTGTTGGTGTGGGAATGGAACGCCTTCAACAGCATGATCATAATAATAGTAATAATAATAACAGTAGTAGTAATTCAACTGCTGCTGCTGGTGGTCGTCGTAATAGTGGAGTTAACGCTGCGGTGTGGGATCCTTTTCAAATTAATCTTTATGCAAACCGTATACGTAGTGCTATTGCCACTTATCTCCGTGATGTTATCTCTGATAGTAGTGAAAAGGATGGAAATTCTGGACCAATGATGGCCATGTATGGTAAATCTATTGGACCAAGTGATTATTTAGATCATAGAGATCGACGTGAGGCATTTCGGGCTAGATGGAATTTATTAATAGGACTTATGGAATCTATGCTTAAATCTCAATATGCTACTACAGTAAGTACTGGAGTAGAATGTATTAGTAATATATTTTCATGTATTTCATGGGTGACGAATGCGGAAAATTATCAAAAAACTGTACAGAAATCATCCTTTGTTCGATCTCTAGAAGAACTTGTATCGTTTACATTTACTACTACACGAACTCATGTTGGTCGTGTTATTCTAAGTGGAGCAGAAAAACCTTGTGAAGATTTAATGATGCTTCTTTTTGATAATCGCTTATTAACTGAAAATGTTATCTCTTCACCATTATTACCATCTTCATTATCATCCTCATTATCCTCTTCATTATCATCATCCTTTGTAGGTCCTATTGTACTTGGATCTGGTGGTCTTAGTTCAGCTGCTCGAGAAGTGTGGGATCTTTGTTTAACTGGTAGTACACCTGTTATGCATCGTCTTGTACGTATAAGTTTATTACGATCTTTACCGCAACTCATTAACTGGTCTAGTGATGCCGCTGTTCGTAATATAGAAAGAATATCATCTGCTGTGGTTGCCTCTGGAGAATCTATAGGAGGATTGAGTTTCTTTTCGGTATGTCACATCTTTACACAAGCACTTACTCCTCCTGTTCATGATCTTGGGAAATATGAACGTGATGTGGATGATTATGATAGTAATAGTAATAGTACCAGTTTAGATGATAGAGGTGAAAATAATAATAATAATAATAATAATAATAATAATAATAATAATAATAATAATAATAATAAAGTTGTAGGGCATGAAGGTACTACTACTACTACTACTACTACTACTACTACTGCTCCTACTACTATATTGATCTTTGAGAGTGATGTATGTCATGATTATGGAATAGCAGAAGCCGTTCTTGATGGTGTACAATATTTATTTAGTGAACTTTTACATCCACATACAGTAGAAGATTTTCTACGATCTCCACATCGTCGTCAACGTTTACAACAACTCACTAAACTCTATAATGAGTGTATAGTGCATAGTGTTACTTTACCCTCATGGCGTACGCGTTGGCTCACCACTCAACGTTTACCGCAACTCACCACATCCTTCATGTTATTACTCAATCGTTTAAAAGGACATAAAAGTGTAGAGGGATCATTATTAGTAGATTCTACGGTAGTTCGTTTGTGTACATTACATATAGAGCAATGGTCCTCCACTCCTGGTGGAAGTGATGGTTGTTTGAAGGAACTTGTACAGGATGAAGAGGAAGAAGTGCGTAGTGTAGTGGCTTTGTGTGCAGCTCGTGTTTTTTGTGCATTAGGACAAGGAATGATGCGTCTTGTTTTTCCGAATGGTATAGTGATGGATATGAAATCCTCTCAACAACCAATAGGAGGAAATGATGGAAGCAGAACTACTAACAATATTACTACTACTACTACTACTACTAACACTAATACGAATACTAATACTAATACTACACGTGGAATAGATGGATTAGGTACTCGACATGTAGATCCTCATAATCCAGGCACATCACAGAATGATATGATGATGATGAAGAATAATAATAGTAATAGTAGTAGTAAGAATAATGACAATCATCAGGAGTCTCATACGGGTACGGCGTTACTTTCTGTGAATACATTAATGAAATACCTTCCAACTCTTCTTGATGCTATTCTCTCTTGTTGTTTATGTTTACTACGTGATCCGGAAGAACGCGTACGGGCGGGTGCTGCCGCTGGACTCTCTGCTCTTGCCCGTACATTAAGTAACATGATAACTGTATGTGATCTACATATACAAGATATTGGTAAAACCACCTGGCTTCGATATCTAGATCGCACCACCGCATCTCTCATGACATTATTGAATGATAATAGTCCAACTGTTCAATTAGCTCTGGTATCGGAGTTAGCGGCTCTTCTCACCAGTTCAGCAGCAGGTGCTGGGAGACTGGCAGCGACTATGGGTGGACGACAAGTAGATGAAGCCACACAAGTACGTGAAGGGGCATTAGTGGCATGTTTACAAAGTCTTGCCCGACATGAAGTTTGGCGTTATCGTGCCCGTTATGCCACTTTATTATCAGAGATGTGTGTAAAGTTTCTTGCCCCGAGTTCATTAGCCGCAGCAGAGGCGGCAGCGACGAGACGACATCATGTTCATACATTAGAAGTTAGTTTACGTGAGAATAGTGTATCGAGTGGTCGTCCAAGTGGGATGGTGTTAGCAGAAGATGGTGTTAATCCACTACACCGATTTGCAAAGAAGGAATTACTTCCATTACTGGTAGATGTATTGTTTGATAAAGTAAAGGCAGTACGGGATAGTGCATTAGAGTCATTACAACGAATGTGTGATCGACTTTCTGCGGCTCGTCTACAATTAATAAATGCCTCACCTACACATGATCATCTTCATCATGGTATTAGTAATAGTAATAGTAGTAGTGCTTTTACAGGGACTCTTGGTGTTGGTATGAGTGGGACTGGTACAATGGGTCCTAATAGTAATATCAACATCAATAGCAATAATAATAATAATAATAATAATAATAATAATAATAATAATAATAATAATAATAGTAGTATGAATAGACTTAAATATCATGATGATGATGTATTCATTAATGATACACTTTGGCCACTTATTATTAATTCCCCTAAAGCTATGGCAACCTACCTTAGTAGAAGTTCTCTACTTCGTATTGCTATTCGTTTAGGTGTGGATAAGGAATCTATTTTACTTCCATTGCTAGATCAACTTGGGCACGACGCCGTATTGAATGTACGGCTTGTTGTGGCGAAGGAATTATATGGTATTCTCGCTGCTTCTTCTAATGCAAATACTACTGCAGCTGCTGCTGCAGCTGCTGGTGTAGTCTCTGGTTCCTCCATCTTATCATGGGAAGGAATACCGAAAGTGACATTTACGCCGCAGGAGAAAAATGGTGTGGTGTTGCAGTT